TCATTCATTTATTGAGGTCCGTTGATCCACAAACATTATTTTATTATAAAATTGTACTTGCTAGAAAATTTTAAAACGTAAATTATTCCAATAAACATCATGGAGTAAGTAATTATGATGTAGTTGATTATAAATATGGAATAATCGAATTGCTTTTTGATAGTAAGAAATATTCAAACAAAGATGATTATAAATATGGGGGAGTCCACGCCTTCACATATATGATTACTTTAAATGAATAATTATTTAATTAAAATTTGTTATGAATATCCATATTCATTGTATGAATATAGTAATACACTCAAAATATATTATTTTAGAAGTTTACGATTTAATAAAACTATGCATTAGGACTTGAACATTGGGCTCAATAAAAAATGTATGAATCTGTATGTTCATAAAATATGTTTTTGGAGAAGATTCATAGAACTAACTTTGAATCTCTCTTTATTTCAATAATAATTGTAAAAAATAAAAAGAAATCTATCAAAAAAAGAAAGTCAGTGGCAAGCTGCTATAAGTTTTTTATGAGATCCTTAATACTGTCTTAAAAAAATTCATTATTTACTTTAAAAAAAAATTATAACAATTGAAAAGATTAGATAAGCTTTACACTATAAACATTATAAACGAAATTAATTCTCAAGTCAAAGATTGAAATTTTTAAATAATCATAATAAAGTTAGATCATTCTTTTTCCTTGTTTTGATCCATTTTTATTGAAAGATCCTATTTAAACTAAAGAAGTAGGACTGTTTTAAGGTAATATCGCAAACAAAAAAAGAAGAAAAAAAACCAAAAAATAGAAAGAAAAGAAAGAAGGAAGAATTTATTGAATAGAAGTCGATTCATGGTTTGATTGAGTTGAAATTTTGTCAGTATGTTTATAATTCAGAATTTTACATTTTGAACAGTGAAGATCGAGTTTGAAGCTCTCTAAGAATAAATTTAATGTGTATTTATTGAGTCACCTATTTGATAAGATTTTTTCAATTGTCTTTTCTCTAATTGTTGATTAGCTTTGATTTTAGTTAAAGAAGAACTTTGTATATATATTATTTGATAGTTTTAATTAGAGAAGAAGGAAGAATTTATTGAATAGAAGTCGCTTCATAGTTCGATTGAGCTGAAATTTTATCAGTAGGTTTATGATTCAGAATTTTATATTTTGAACGGTGAAAATCGAGTTTGAAGCTCTCTAAGAACAAATTTAATGTGTATTTGTTGAGTCACTTATTTGGTGAGATTTTTTCAATTGTCTCTCTCTAATTGTTAATTAGTTCTAGTTTTAGTTAGAGAAGAATTTTGTATATCTATTATTTGATAGTAGAGGTTTTTTTTGTTGGTCTGTGATTTTTTTCTCTGCACTGAAAGATTTTCATGTAAATCTTAGTGTGATTTTTTTTTTTACGTTATTGATTATTGATTATTTATCTATTACTTTAAATTTATTATGATATATTATTTTTTTATTATTGTGTCTATTACTTCAGGGTCAACACGTTGTAATAAATAATTATTAATATATATTGAATCTTTATTCCAATAATAATTATAAAAAATTTAAAAGCCTATAAGAGAAAAAGAGTCAATGGCAAGTTTTTGCAAGTTTTCGATGAGGTTCTTAATATTATCCTAGAAAAAATTTGTAACAATTAAAAAGTTTAGATAAGTTTTACATTATGAATACCAAGAATGAATTGAACCCCAATTCAAAAATTGAAATTCTAGAATAGTCATGATAAGTTAGATCATCCCAATTTTTATTTTGATTATTTTTTGTCGAAAAATCCTATTTAAATTAAAATTCAACGTAATATATAATTATTAGTATAAAAAAATTTTAATGAAAAACTCAATTTTTATTGCATTTGAATTTCTGATAATTCTTTTTTAATTTATCTAGAAATTTCAAACATCCCTTTATTTTTTGGTGTCAAAATTTTATTTTTAATGAGGAATTGGAGAGGCCAACTCAAGCAAAAAACACATGTAAAATAGAAGATTCGATGGAAATTGAGTTTGAAAATGGTAGTCTAGAAAATGGAAAAAAAGGCGGAGTTTGAGGTCAAATTTAGATCAAATAGAAACAGTAAACAAAGCCATGAAAGGTGGCAAGATTTGGTCAAAAATTCACATAATGAATTTGGAAATTTAGGAAAAAAAGTTGGGTCAAATTTAACTAGCTAATAGTTTCCTAATTCTTTTTACATACTTTTGAAGGATTTTTATTCCTCGTAATAATTCTCCTACACATACCTTGGAAAAGCTCTTTTGGGTGTTTGATCATCGCTACAAAAAGGCCAAACTTTTTCATCATTTTAGATTCTTTTGCAAAGAATCAAAGCAAAAGCAAGCAGCCTATTACTTTTTGAACAATAAGCAATGAGATTAGAGATAATTATGATTCGAATTAAATTAAATTATATTTAATTTTTAAATAATATATAAATTTATAAGTTTTTAAAATTTGATTTATATTTAAATTAAATTTTTAGAATTTTTTATTTGATTTGAATTAAATTTTATTGATTTAATTTAGTTTAATAATTTAATATTTTTATATATTATTTTAATATAATTTTAATATATTTAAATAAATTTAATATAAAAATTATTTTTATTTTATATAAATTTAAAATATATATAATTCGATTTGAATTATTTTTTATTTAAAATTTAATTTTAATATAATATATATTTAATATTTCATATTTAAATCTAATAAAATTAAAAATTAAAATCAACTAAATTAAATATTATAATTTCGAATATTTTCAATATTTTAATTTTTTTTCCCATTTGGACTTCGAGGTCATCATTTTAAGCATCCACCTATGGCTAGCTATAGTCTCTCGGACCAACAAAATGAATTATTACTTATCTACAAAAATTAATATAAAATTTGAATTTTATTTATACAAAAGGCATATGACAGGGGTATTATAGACATTTCAACGTGAAAAAGGCAGACAAAGAGGTCGAAAAGATACGTGAACGGTAATAAATGCAGAAAGTTGGAAACTCTCTCCTACTTTCAAACTTCCACTTTTTTTTTTCTCTTTATCGGTCAGCGGAAAAGGAAAGGACTTAATTTTCACGCGTCAGCTTTTTGTCAGAACACGACAAATTTCGTGTTCTGGCGATGAACTAAATTCAACGGCCCTGATCTTTTGAACTGATAAAGACGAGCCATGCCCAGGTCATCGCGTGAGATAAGAATCAGATTTGTAAAGAAGAGAAAAGGTGAGGGAAAGGAAAGAAAGGCTCGAAAAACGCGTAAATGGAAAGGAAAGGGAAGGGAAGCGGGGGAGTGCATGATGATGATTTTTGTTCCCTTAAGACTTCTCTCTCTTTTTCTCTTTAATTCTTTAACTTATTATTATTGTTTTTGCCATTTTTTTTTGTATAAAAAAACCTAAAATTTTCTCACTTTGAATAATGATTTGGTTGGAAAGTCTAATATTATAGTTTAGAGTGATGGGTTTGTTTAATTTTGATTTAATAATCTTTGGATCATTAAATGCAATAATGAACAAAGAATTGATGATAATGATTTTTTAAGTATTTAAAAATAAAAAAATATATATCTATCACAATTGAATGAAATTTGATTGCAACCTAAATCCAACTTGAATGACACTACAAAAAAAATTTATATTATATAAAATATTAAAATTTGTATATTTATTTTATGTTTTATATAAAAATTATGTCATAATTTATGTTCACGTAAAAATATAAAATATTTTTATTTTTATTAAATTTATATATATTTATTATTAAAAATTTTAAATTATATTATATTTATATTTTATTTTTATATTATATTCGTATTATATCATAATATCGTGTTACTGAATTATACTTATGAATGATTTTGCTACAAATTTATTAAATTAATAATAAGTTGATAACATGATTGCATGTAGAAACATGAACAACAATGCAATTTTAACTTCGATTGCACGAAATTTGAATTTTATTTTTACTAATTGTGATTCTTGTAGCAAAACTTTAAGTAAAAGTTTGTTTTGTTCAACTTTTTGTCATAAAAAGTCATGTTTATTTACTTATTTCTTATAAAGTTGGGTTTTAGGCATGCACAAGCTTCTTTTAGTATTGTGGAGTAGTTGTTTTGTGGACTACGAATTATGAAATCGTCACTATAACACAATTAGTCGTTGTCGCTTGTGTCATCATATTAATTTTATATTAAATACAAAATATAAAATTTAGTTAGTTCATCATCTTGTTTTAAAGGCAACCTCTCTTACAAATATTTTTAAATGCGTTTTTGTCAAATTTTGAGATTAATTATCCTTTATGGTATTAATTTTTTCATGTATTTTTAAAATTTTTTTATTAAATACAAATTATCAGGATTTTTTTTAATAAATAAAAAGAAAAAAGGGATTATACTATATAAATCCTAAACCTTGGCATTATTAACGTGAAAAGCATAAAATCAGTTGAATTATAAAAAAATATAGTTAATTTTTTAAAAAAAATTTATGGAAACTCTCATTTTCATTTTTTTTTTCTTTCAATTTCATTGCACATGAACATCACTCCATATCGTTTGATGAATCATTTGAGAACGATAAGAAGGATTTTCACTGCATAAATTTTAAGAGTTCAATTGTAAACTATCATCTATACGAGAATCTTTCCTTTACTGCACTGTCAAATGAAGCGTGGACCTGGTTGGAAGCCGACCATCACAGCTTCTTTTGAAAGCAGATTGGAGAATTTAGAATAAAATGTAATAATATGATATAAATATAATATAAAAATAATAATTTTAAATTTTAAATAATTATTATTTATAAATTTAATAAAAAATATTTTTTATATTTTTTTATATTTCATTATAATACATAATTTTTATATAAAATATAATATAAATATATATAAATTATAATATTTTATATGATATAATTACATTATCGATGAAATTTAATTCAAAACCGCCCATCGCATCATTTTATTAGCAAAAGGGCGTGGAACTTGGAGAGATCAACTCATGGTCCTAAGAAAATAATAGTAAATATTAAGTAAAAAATCACTTATTTTTTTAAAATCTGAAAAAAATTTATGCTTCTCTCACTTCTGTATCTGTAATAAGGAATTAAAGTATAGAAACAAGAGAAAGTTAATTAATTGTATAAAAATATTGTAAAATAAAAAATAATATAAAGAAAAAAGGAGGGATGACATAATAAAGTAGAGCAGATATGCACTGGCCAGAAAGCATTTTTCAGAAATCCTTGCTTCAAACTGATAGTACTTCCAATTCTCTAGTTTCCAGAAATTCTTTTCTCTCTTTCTTTCTTTAATAAAAACAAACATTTTTCATGCTCCTCAGCTGACCTGACCCCCTAACTAATTTACTTTCCATGCCTCTGCTTTATCTGTCTATTTCTTTTTTAATTTAAAAAGTAGAATCTTATTTTTAAAGTTTTTACCAGGGAGCGAGGTACAGTGTAAAATTTTGAGTTAAATTGTGTTGGATTTTTTGGTTACAGATGAATCAGATAGATAGGGATAGAAAGCAAAACAAAAGAAAAGAAAAGGGAGAGGTTCTTGTGAAAGAGGGGATCTGATCTTTCCTCCTCCTCCTTTGTAATTCCATCTTTTTGTTTTTGTATTTTTTTTTCATAAATTTTGAGTGAAGAGAAAGATATAAAAAAAAAAAAAAACCCAAACGTAGATCACTTAAAGTTGATTAAGAAGCTTGTAAGCTTATCTTTCTAAGCTATTGCTTGCTTTCTGTCTTTCATTTTTTGTTTGTTTTTGTCTGTAAAAAGCTTTCAATTGAGTTTGTCGATTTCCATAATCTTTGCTTCCCATTACTTTTTTTTCTTAGATAATAGAAAGGTAAAACAAATTAAAATCTAGATACGAAGAAGAAGAGAAGAAGGGAACTAAATGAGAGCAGGATTAAGCACGATCCAGCAGACCCTGACGCCGGAGGCGGCCAGCGTGTTGAACCATTCGATAGCGGAAGCAAGCCGTAGGAATCATGGCCAAACGACGCCGCTCCATGTGGCGGCAACGCTGCTTGCATCTCCCACCGGATTCCTTCGCCAAGCATGTATCAAATCGCACCCCAATTCTTCTCATCCGTTACAGTGTCGAGCTTTGGAACTTTGCTTCAGCGTCGCGCTGGATCGTCTCCCCACTGCTCAAAACGTCAATAGTGGCAGCCCCGGACACGACCCACCAATTTCTAATGCCTTGATGGCTGCTCTTAAACGTGCTCAAGCCCATCAACGCCGAGGATGTCCCGAGCAACAACAGCAACCGCTTTTGGCTGTTAAAGTGGAATTGGAACAGTTAATTATATCGATTCTTGATGATCCTAGTGTTAGTAGAGTCATGCGTGAAGCTAGCTTTTCAAGTCCAGCAGTTAAAGCAACCATTGAACAATCATTGAACACAACGAGTTCAAACTCAGCAAACACGGCTGGTCCAATCGGATTGGGATTCAGACCGGTAGTAGCTGCTGCTTCCGCCGTTGCTGTGCCTTCAGCCAATCGGAATTTGTATTTAAATCCGAGATTACAGCAAGGGGCAGCAGGGCAGACTGGGCAGCAAAGGAGTGAAGAAGTGAAAAAGGTGATTGATATTTTGATGAGGACTAAGAAGAGGAACCCGGTTTTGGTGGGTGAATCAGAGACAGAATTGGTGGTTAAGGAGATTTTGAAGAGGATTGAGAACAAGGAAATTGATGGGGTTTTGAGAAATGTTGAGGTGCTTCATGTGGAGAAAGATTTCGCATTGGATAAAACCCAAATGGTTGCAAAAATTAAGGAGTTGGGTACTCAAGTTGGAGCAAAGATTGGGAATTTGGATTGTGGAGGGGTGATTCTTGATTTGGGTGACTTCAAATGGTTAGTGGAGAATAATCAGCAGCTGGGTCTTGCTGATGGGGTTCAACAGCAGCAGCAGCAGCAGCGTGATGCGGTGGCAGAGATGGGGAAATTGTTGGGGAGGTTTGGAGAAGGAAGTGGTAGTATATGGTTGATTGGAACTGCTACTTGTGAAACTTATCTGAGATGTCAAGTTTATCATCCTTCAATGGAGAATGATTGGGATCTGCAGGCAGTTCCCATTGCTGCTAGAGCACCCTTACCGGCAATGTTTCAAAGGTATTTGTTCTGACAAATTTGGAAGCTTAGATATGTTTTTGTTTATTTTAGCTGTAGTTTTTGAATGTGGAAAGCTTAAATTCTATCAGATCTTTTTGGAAGAAGTTAAGGTTCAAAATTTTGGTAGTCACTTAACTTGGATAATATGCTTTATTGTAGGGATTATATGTAATTAGATTTTATTGAATATGGTATATTAATGGGTATCAAGAAATTTCTGTTTGTAGAATCCATGGTTTCAGTGCTACTAGTAGATTTTATCCTTGGGAAAAAGTTGATTCTGATCTATTCTTTTTTCAGTCAGCTTTGGGATTTGCTTAATACAAAATACTTACTTCACGTCCATAAGACTTTTCACATTCATGTTTCAGTTTGACTTTCTCTTGTTTGCTCTTATTTGGTTTCTATGCGAAGTATGAGCTTAGATGATGCAGTTTGATCTTTGGGCTTGGGGGACTTTTCCTTTTTTTTTTTTTTTGGTTGCTGTCAATACCTGAGATATTGCGTTATCTAGTTTTGTTACAGGTATCATTGATTTAACTTGAAATATGCTTGTTATCTTCCAGGCTTGGGAGCAATGGGATACTTAGCAGCTCTGTTGAGTCCCTTTCCCCATTGAGGGGGTTTGCAACTACAGCTGCTCAACCTAGGCAACTCTCTGAGAACTTGGACCCTGCTCGAAAAACAGGCTGTTGCCCACTGTGCATGCAGAATTGTGAACAAGAGCTGGCAAAACTTTTAGCGGCCAAGGAGTTTGAGAAACCCTCCTCTGATATTAAATCAGAATCAACTAGGCCTGCATTGCCACAGTGGTTGCAGAATGCTAAGGCTCATGATGGTGATATCAAAACAGTAGATCAGATGCAGGTAACAAGCTCAACTTAAACAAAAACAAAGTGTTAGAAATTTTTTTTTTTGTGTGTAAATATGTGCATAGTTAAATCTTTTTCCTCCCTTATCTAAGCTTTATTATTACCTTCACATGTTATATACAGACTAAGGATCAAGAGATGATCTGGAAGCAGAAGACTCAAGAATTGCAGAAGAAATGGAATGATACATGCTTGCGTCTCCATCCTAATATTCATCAGCCATGTCTAGGCTCTGAGAGATTCGCATCTACAGCTCTCTCAATGACGAGCTTGTACAATTCAAGTCTGCTGGGACGCCAACCATTCCTGCCCAAATTACCATTGAACAGGAACATTGGGGAGTCACTGCAACTGAACCCAAATCTAGTAGCTAGCCAACCGATCGAACGGACAAGTAGCCCACCAGGAAGTCCTGTAAGGACAGACCTTGTTCTTGGGCGACCGAAGATCACTGAGACCACACCAGACAGAACCCATAAAGAGCGGGTGAGGAGCTTTTTGGGTTGCATACCTTCTGAACCACAGAACAAATTCCATGATATTTCAAGCGACAAATTTTTAAACACATCAGATGCTGACTCATTCAAGAAACTCCTTAAAGGTCTAACAGAGAAGGTGTGGTGGCAGCGGGATGCAGCATCTGCGGTGGTTACAACAGTGACACTGTGTAAATCAGGCAATGGAAAACGGCGGGGTGGTGGATCAAAGGGTGACATTTGGTTATTGTTTACTGGCCCTGACAGGGTTGGCAAGAAGAAGATGGCATTGGCCCTTTCAGATCAGGTATGTGGGGCTCATCCAGTAGTGATATGTCTTGGTTCAAGACGTGATGATGGGGAATCTAGTGTGAGTTTCCGTGGTAAAACAGTTGTGGATAGAATAGCAGAGGCAGTTAGGAGGAACCCTTTCTCGTTAGTAATGCTTGAAGATATTGATGAAGCAGATATGCTAGTTAGAGGCAGCATAAAGCGAGCAATGGAGAGAGGTAGACTTGCTGATTCTCATGGTCGTGAGATCAGTCTAGGAAATGTTATTTTTATTCTCACTGCAAATTGGTTGCCAGAGAATCTTAAATTCTTATCAAATGGTATCTTCCTGGATGAAAAGAAGCTGGCCAGTTTAGCAAGTGGAGGTTGGCAATTAAGGTTATCCCTTTCTGAGAAAACTGCTAAGCGCCGAGCCAGTTGGCTACACGAGCAAGACAGAGCAACAAAACCAAGGAAGGAAACTGGTTCACCACTATCGTTTGATCTTAATGAGGCTGCTGATGTGGAGGATGATAAAGCTGATGGATCACATAATTCCAGCGATCTCACAGTTGATCATGAAGAAGAACAAGGCCTCACTAATAGGCTGTTATCCAACTCAACATCATCGGTATCTCGTGAGCTGCTCAATTCTGTTGATGATGCCATTATATTTAAACCAGTTGATTTCGGTCCCATTAGACGCAATATAGCAAACTCCATAACAAAAAAGTTTTCCAGCATTATTGGCGACAGGGTAACGCTGGAGATCCCTGACGAAGCTCTGGATAAGATTACAAGTGGGGTATGGATAGGCCAAACTGGATTAGAAGAATGGACAGAGAAAGCAATGGTTCCAAGCTTACAGCAGCTCAAAACACGATTGCCCACGTCAGACGAGTCTCTAGTAGTTCGACTTGAACTCGACGGTGAATCCTGTAACCGAAGCCATGGAGATTGGCTGCCCAGTAGTGTGAAGGTGGTTGTTGATGGGTTCTGATAGTGAGGATGATTAACATTTAGCAGTTCCTGGCTCAACAATCAGTTGATACACTTGGGTTCTGGTAGCAATCAATGTAAGAGGATACCATTGGTATTTCCTACATATGTAAATATACTCAACTGTTTTTGGCAGGCAGTGAAGACGGTTGCGGGAGATAAAGAGTAAAAACAGTTAGAAGAGGGAGACGTTGATAGATTAACCGTACCTTTTTATTATTTGATTTCTTCAGCCTTTTTCCTTTTTTTTTTTTCTTGTTAAAAGAATTTTATATAGTATGCTATTTTATTATTATAGATATCATTAATAAAAGATGAGGCATTCCTCTTTTTCCCCGTGTCACCTCTCATTTTTCTGCTTTTTGCTCCTTCAATTTTTTTTTTTTGGCTGAAAAATGGCATAAATGGTTATAAACTTGTTTGATACTTTCTGGCAAAAAAACAAAGGAAAAAAAAACTTGTTTGATACAATGAAGTTGCCATAAAAGTGAAATTAAATTGAAATAATTTACAGATAATTAATAATTATTTTTTATGTGTTTGTATGGAATTCTTGGGTGTAGCCAATGGGGGACTTTACTTTTGGAACTCAAAACTTTAATCACCAATTCCAATTTTAAAAATGGAGAAGGTAAGGTTTATGATAAGGTCATCAACATTTAATTTAATTTTATTAATTTACAATATATAATATTATTTTTGGTCCAACTTTTTAAGCAAATACACGATCACAAAGAAAAAAGCCAAGGCAGGGTGGCTTTTTCTGCTCCTGCCCGCATACCTTTACACCTTTATACCAAAGTCATTTCTGCCTTTTTAGAATGAAAACAAAAACCCAACAACTCCTCCTCTCTCTCTTCATTTCTTTTACAACCCAATTCTTTTTTTTTTATTTTATGCAATTAGATAAGACTAACAAAAGCTTTACATGCGCATAATATATATTTTTTATCACTACTTTTTGTTGCAAGATAATAAAACAAATGATGCATGTGTACGATTAGGAATGATTCTTATTATGCTGAATCACGTGCCATCTTCTTCAGTCATGTGAATTTGTACATGATGTTAATATAATCCGAGTGTTATTAATAAATTGAAAGAGATTTCAATAACAACTTTTTCAATTATTAGAAAGAAATTTTAAAGCTTTAACGGGTAAATAGAACGTTTGGATTAAGGATGCTTGATAAAGATTTCTGGTGCATGTGAATCACAACCTCATTAATAAGCTTACGTAGTAGCTTACATGTCGATGTTATCATAGCTATTTGTTTCAAATGGCCATGAAATAACCAAGTCAATGGTTTGATGAAGTTGGCAGTATGTTTCTAGATGTGGGGTTAGGCCGCCGGGTGTCGGCGGCTAAACCGAAAGTGGGGATAAACTTAAAGGTGATCGAGCCGAGTATTGGTGGTGGTCCACATGAGTTTGGTCCTTTCGTTGAATAAATAAAATCCTCAACTGTGAACAAGTTTCCCTAAGGCCGGTGCATAAGTTTCCTACGAAATTTCCATGCTTTTGCATAAATGCCTTTTTGAAAAGCAAAGACAAGAAAGAGAATACTCAACCATTGCTTTCTTTCCAATGGCATCCCCATTTTTGTCCTTTCTTCGATGTAATTTGCTTGACTAAAGTTAATTTTTTAAAAGCCAAAGAAAATGGGTTTCCGAGACTTTGACAGTTTGACACTTCTCTGGTAAAATTCACTGATCATTTTCAGCTGTTTGTGTATTTACATACAAATTACAAACACATGCATTTGTCTTTTACGTACAATCTGACCATTTCAACCTTTTGTAAAAAAAAAAAAAAAAAAAAAAAGCAGTCTTTCTTGAAAATGAATCCAACTTTTTCTTTTACAATCAACATTAAAAACAAAAAGAAAGGCAGGAAGGCGTGAAAGATATAATTTGTATTAGTTAAGCAAGCTTTTAACCTACTTTCTTCATCGTTATGCTTTTGTACTCTTCTTGAAATGTTGAAGAAGATATGAAGAATATACAAAATCCACTATAAGAACTTCCACTCATCTACCAAACCATCGCTCTCTCTCAATAAAAATTATAAAGTTCCCATTAGGTTTACCTAAACCCTTAAAAAGAAAAAGATTGTCTTGAAAGGGAATACCAAATGCATTAACTTTTTTTTAAAAAAATTAACCCGAAAATATAAAATCAAAGTTTAAAGCTTAATTCAGATCATTTATATAATTATCTTCAAAAAATAATATTAAGTAAATCTAAATTTTAAATCTTGCAAGCTTTTCTATTATACTAATAAAAAAAAAACAGAAGTTAAACATCACAAGTTTTCTCTTATTCCCATTGTTTAAGTAGCACAAAAAGATAAGGATTGGGTTAATGTAATCAATTGCACCCACTTCGCAAAATTTTTTTTCTTGTTATTACATTTTAAAATTGTTTAGAGCCCAAAGGGCAACTGCTTTGGGATAAAATAATGGAAAAGGAAGTGTTCATTGATTAGAATAAAATATAAAAAATAAGGAGTGAAAAATTGGAATTACAAAAGGCACGGGAACAAGTAGATGACAAAGCACAACATGCCCCTTTTGTTGCTCATCTTTTTGTAGATATGCAAGCTTTTTAGGTCACCATGCTCACCTGTTCCCTCTTACTAGATTTAAATTATTTAATTATTATTCAATTAATTTTTTCTCTCACCTTTTCTTCACCATTAATTAATGATTAAAGTGGGGAAATCAACAAATTATCCATTAATGAATAATATAATGAAGAAGAGATCTTAACTATCACCATGGTTTTTTTTTTTTTTTTTTGCCAATTCCCCATGGGTTAAGTTTTCAAAATGATAATGAAAATAAATATAGTCAAATGTTGGGCAAAGCCTTTAAAGAAAAGAGACAAAGAAAGAAAAAAACTAGAAAGATTAGGCAACGAGAAACCAATAACAAATCGTTCCACCAAATGTTAGTTAAGAGATTAGCAAAAATACTTAGAAAGGGAAAAACCATCATAGTCAAAAAGTAATCAAGATCTCTTTGCATTAGATCTAATTATTTCAAATAAAGCACGATAATATAATATAATATAATATAAAAATTATGAAAAAAAATAAAAATAATTTGATTTAAAATTTTTAAAAAATTATATATAAATTTATAAATATAAAAGAGTATTTTATATGACATATCGATATTAATTTGATATGATAATTTTTTATATTTTACATATATTTAATATAATATAAATACAATTTAAATATATCAATAGACATATTTACTTTGCACCTTAGAAATTTGGATATGAATCCCAATATTCTACACCTCTGCATGACCTGTCTCTCCGTTGGTTTTTATATATACATTTTCAATTGAGGAACCATTTTGGCAAAACCATTTAGAGTTGACTATTCTAGAATCTGGTTGAACAAAGAAAAGAAAAGAAGAAATGAAATCACCAATATTTGATTAGACGGCACCATCCCATCCCAACATTGCAAAATTTGCACAAAATCCAGGTCTCTACATGCAATTGAATGACTACATTTTTTTTTTTTTCATCTTTTGGTGGTTACAATTAGATTATCAGGCTTGGTCCAGATTCAAAGTCCATTTATCACCTGCCTGGTTAACTTGTAAATGTCTGCTCTGCATTCAGTCTAAAACAAACTGGACCTAGACCCAACTTTGAGACTTCCGAAACTTGACATGTCCAGAGTTTTGACAGGACTAAAGCTCTTCTTGTCGAAGGCATTTCAAACTGGTGCATTCTCACCATTTGAGCAAAGTCCATCTTTAACAAAAATTTAGTTGCACATATATATCCTCACCAAGAATATGCTTCAATGTTGATAGGCTATGGCTCTATGGCTCTATAGCTCCGTGTTTAGAAAATTTGCCAAAACCCAAAGTACAGTCCTTATTCCTGCAAATGAAAAAGATGCTCCTCATGCTTAGAATCCCATGTTTTTTGCAGGTTTAGAAAATCAACTGTCAGTATAATCTGCTGCATTTTCCTGAGCAAGAGAAGGGGTATCGAATATTCGAATTCATGTAGTTAAGTCTTGCAAGTATAAGCATTCACATATATAAGCACCAAGATTGAAAGCTCAACAAATTAGGTTGCCCGGACTCAGCTACAAGATAAATGGCATATGCTAGAGCATCCATCATGTTTATCCGTTCACCTCTAAATGGATATCTCTAATTCTATACATTATTTTATCATTAAGGAGAGATCTAATTCTGCCATAGGAAATGAAGGTCAATAGTTCATCTAATTCCTTTTGAAGAATAGAAACCTAACATGAACGATATATGAGGATATAATCGAGGATTATTCCTACTCTGCCTTTAAAGATTGACTTGGTAACATTAGGCTGCTTGGAAAAAAAAAAAACCACGGTTACCGACCTAAGTTTGAGTTATAAGTCAAAATTTAGGAACCTAGGTTTCTATACAACAGTTTATACAAAAGTAAGTGCCAGCTTCATTTCTCCTAACTCTAGTGATTAGTCTTTTCTCAAAAAGCTTTGAACGCCCTCTTAAATTCACTTAAATTTCTTAATATCGATCAATTAGTTTAATGAAAGTAAAAAATTTGGAAACCTGTTCCAGTGACTTGTGCGTCTGCAAATTACAATTTGCTTACAATGCAATCCAAATTCAAGATACTTGGACAAATTTTGAAGATATTTGAAGCTAACCAACATGTTAAAGGGAAAGAGAGCTGGGATGCTTTCATTCTTGATATATTTGCAGGTGATACAAGGGGATAAAGGGAAATGTACAAAGAAAAGGCAAATTCTTAAACAGGTTAAGAGGTTGGCTTGGTTGATAATATTATAAAAGAACATGAACCAGCGGTGTAGCATTTCTAAGTAAAGGAATCTGTTAAAGGTATCCTTTGTACAAGGCTTCCTATATCATTAGCCCTAACCACTACACATAAATCCTGATGTAAACTTTGTTCATTTTCTTTCGTTTCATTCTCTTTTTGTTGGTTTTTTCTGTAGTCAATTTGGCTGTACTGGTGCTTCTGCAATTCGTCGAAGTAATCCAATGACTTCGACAACATCATCAACATAGTATTTTGCCATACTTGGTTTTTGACCAACAGTGCAAGCAAATATCTCTGCTATGACCGGCAAGGTTGGGTTGGCAGATGACCGTGCAATGCTCTCAAACATATCTTCATCTGAACGATCGTCTCCAATGCACAGCAGAAAATCTGGTGATTTGCCCCTACTTCTCATGGTTGAGATAAGATTGTCCACAACAATGCCTTTGCTCGGTCCCTGCAGTTCACCAGAAAAAACCCTTCAATATAATTCACTAGAAACCACAAGCCAATGAAGCAGTACATTTTTAAAGAAT